TTTCTGCTGCTCCTTCCTCTTCAGGGGGAAGGCTCCTCACACTCTTCTCTTGCTCCAGCATGGGGTCCCTCCCACGGGAGACAGTTATCCATGAACTTCTCCAACATAAGTCCTTCCCATGGGCTGCATTTCTTCATGAACTGCTCCAGCATGGGTCGCTCCCACGGGTGCAGTCCTTTGGGAACAGAATTCTCCAGTTTGGGTCCCCCATGGGGTCACAAGTCTTGCCAGCAAACCTGCTCCAGCATGGCCTCCTCTCTCCACGGGTCCACAGGTCCTGACAGGATCCTGCTCCAGCACAGGCTTCCCATGGGGTCGCAGACTGCTTCATGCATCCACCTGCTCTGGTGTGGGGTCCTCCACGGGCTGCAGGTGGTTGTCTGCTCCACCGTGGACCTCCATGGGCTGCAGGGGACAGCCTGCCTCAACATGGTCTTCACCACGGGCTGCAGAGGAATGAATCTCTGCTCCAGAAACTGGAGCACCTCCTCCCCCTCCTTCCTCACTGACCTTCATGTCTGCAGCGTTGCTTCTCTTAGACATATTCTCACTCCTCTCTCCAGATGAAGTTGCTGTTGTGCAGGTTTTTTACCCCTTAAATATGTTACCACAGAGGCACTATCACCATCACAGGCTCAGCCTTGGCCAACGATGGGTCCACCTTGGAGCCAGATGCCATTGGCTCTATCAGACATGGGGGAAGTTTCTAGCAGTTTCTCACAGAAGCCACCCCTGTCACCCCACCACCACCAAAACCTTGCCACACAAACCCAATATAAGGTCTGTGTCAGCACTCTGGGACAGCAGCCCAAGAGGCTGGCAAACGGAACAGTGAAAGTGGCTCAGAACATCACAGTGAAAAGGAACTGTGGGTTTCTTTTTTTCCCTAGAGTGCCCAAGAACTGTCAGCATCATAACTGTCCTTCAGGATAATGGGGGAATTCTGAAGATCTCAAAATAGTAAGCTTTACTACAAAGAACAGCACCAGACAGAATCTGCACCCACATACTTTAATGCTGAGCATTCAAATGAGCAACTGCTCCTACTCTCCATACTACTGCCTGCCACAGAAACACACAACCACTTCATTTACCTCATCCCTTTCTCCCTCAGCTCTGTTTCTACATTTCACTACTGAAATGCCTATTGGGATTGAGCAGAACATAGTCTGCATTTATTTATTTCATGCAGTTCCTGGGCTTCTCTGCAGAAGGGAAAGACACCAGAACATAAAGGATATCAGGAGCTGCTGCTTCTCTGCCACAGGCACTACAGCTTACCTACCTTCTTGTCCCAGTACAGCCCTCCAAGGGCTTCCTCCCAGATTTGTGTCCAAGTCAGCCTCTTCCAAGGTACGTTATCTGTGCTGTCAGCATCCCCACCCTCTGATGGATGAAAAGCATGCAGTAACCTGGCAAAGACTTCTCCAGGTGGACACAAGTGTTGCACCCTTTGCCCTCCCACTCCATTCTCTGCGAGGCACCCACACCAGCACACTCTCAGTACTTGGTGCTGTTACTGACTGTCACCTATTCCAGTCCCGCCTGCCAGGCAGCCTCCAATCTTTTACTCAGAGAACCAGCTCACTTGCTAATTCCTTCTCGTGCTTTCTACATTTCCACCTATCTTTTCAGACAGACAGTGTGGATCCATTACTTCCCCCCACTCACCAGGTGTCCCTGCTGGGTAGCACTAAGAGCTGCTCCAAGAAGGGAAGGCAAGCCAGGAGCAGAGGGAAACCACAATACAGTCCCATGGGGTACAAGAGCAGCAAGCAGAGCCAGATGATGACACCAGGCTCAGCTGGCAGCCCTGGACAGGGCAGAGAGATGAGTCAGGCCCAGCACCCACCCAGAGAGCCCACGGTAGGATCAACAGGAGACAGGACCAAAATCAAGTCCACAACATCAGTCCAAGGTCAGTCAGGAAACAAGGCCAGAGACAGGACTGGCAACAGGTCAACCCACGATGTAACTCAAGCAAAGACAAATCAAGGCTCTTCTAAGAGAGACCAGACAAGTTCTGTGTTTCTTGACGCAATAAATTCAGCAAAAGTTGATTCAGATCCTTGCTGACTTTGCTGATGACAGTGAAGCCATTCCTAATTTAAATGATTATAATAGAGGGTGCCTGGCTCTAGTGATTTGCTTGTTTTCATGACTTGATCACTTCTATGTTGCTTTTATGTAAAGCATAATTTAACTTCACTTAATCTTTAAAAAAGCATATATAGAAAAAAAAGGTGTAGAAAATGTGAGGAAAGGAAGACCAGTCCCAGAGGATGTAACAGACAGTACCAGGCGAACTGCCTCTAAGACTAAGTGACTGAATGCTGATCGGTGTGAACTAGCCTGATGTTGCCAGAGCTGCTCCTCCACAGTTTTCACAGCCTGCTTATTTGGGTGGCATCCTAAACTCTCCAAAGTGTGAGTAAACACCTGTAACACCTTAAAGAGCAGCATGTTTTCTAGGATGAGGTGTCTCCGTCAAGGTGAGAGAAGGACAGCCCAGGGGGAATGGGAAGGGAGTCCTGGCTGGTACCTGACCCATGTGCTGACGCTCAGTTCCCACTCGCCAGGAAGCAAAGTTGGCACATGGAGCAGCAGAACATGGCCTCTCAACATATCCTGGCCCTTGTTGGTGCTGGGGTTTCTTAGCTCTTATAGGGTTTTCTGAAAAGACCTCTCTAGCTCCCTTTTCAGGGAAGCATTCCCTTCCCTAAGCACTGCTCTCACCAGCACAGGCAGCCTTTGTGCCCAGGACACACTTTTGTCACAACACTAAGGTGGGACTGAGCGATGCCTCCATTCTCCCATGGGTCTAAACCGCAAATGTGTGGCTGAACATCCCAGCAATGAGACAAATCACAGCAGTCCCCTCATGGACCCGATTCCCTCCCTTTGAAGCAAAATCCTGGGCTGATGCTCATCACCACTCTACCTTCTGGTTAAAAATACCTGACCTTGTAAAACACCACAAGTCTCTCCAGGCAGCCCCTCGCCATCCAGTGCAGCACCTGACGAGGTCTGCCGGGGGCCAGGCAGCTCTGCCTGTCTCCACGTGCGCCCACCTTTCATCTGATGGCCCCCTGATCCTGGCTCCCCCTAATTTTAATCTTCCACACCTTGATAACCTAATTGTTAATGCACCTACGAGGACACACACGCTTGTTTTCCTCTCTCTGCAGGATCACCTCCGGGGGGGCTGTGGGGATGGGGCAGGGTCTGCTCACCCCCTCCAGCCCGCCCCGCCCCGCCCAGGGGCTGCGATGCCGCGGCAAGGGGGGGGCCCTACCGCAACCTCCCCTCTACTGCGGGCTGCTGCTCCCCATCGCCAGGGACGGGCTTTGCTGGCCTCGGAGGGACCCCCCGCCGTGCCGACACCCCTCCCCGGGCCTGCTGTTAATGGGGGCGGGGGGCAAACACGCTGCCGGAACATTAGGCGTTTCACAAATCAGTAAGTGATCATCGACTAAGACAACGCTCCTCTACGGTGAAGAAAATGCTCTCACGCGCCCGCGGGAGGCTGAGCCGCTGTGCTCCGCTGCCCGTGGCGGTGCAAGAAAAACCCGCGTGGATCCGGACCCGAGCCGGCCAGGGGGGTCTCTTCACGGCAGCGCTGGGCCGGCTGCTCGCGGCGGGCCCCAAGAGGGGGTTTAGTGCTGGGGGGGCGGGAGGGGGCGCGGCCATCGGTAGCGCCTCGGGGTACGAGGAGTCGCTGCCGCCTTCGCCGGGGCCCCCGCGGGCAGTTTTGTGCGTTTTGTCACACCCGTCGCCGTGACGTAACGTGGCCGGCGGAGCCGCCGTCGGTCATAACGGTTTTGAACGGCTCGTAACGGTGGCTTTAATTACACACCGCCAAGGGCAGCCGTTACAAGTACAACGCTGCAAACCGCCGGGCGCTTGAGCGCAGGTTGCGCCCCGCGGAGCCGGTGCCGCCCCAGGAGCAGCCCCGCACTCCCACTGCGGGCTCTCCCCGCCGCGCGAAACCCCCCCCTACCCCATCCCCGCCCAAGTTCCGCGTACCCCCAAGCCGCAGCACCCCGGAGTTTCGGGCGGGACCGCGGGGCGTGGGGGTGGCCCGCGGCTGGCAGCGCCCCGCGCAGCGCAGCCCGCGCGGCAATCGGCGCTCGCAGCCGGGTGTCCTGCGTGGAAGAGCATTCCCGTGCCCGGTTTGCTCGGGTATTTTAAACAGCTGTATACTGCGCGCGCGAGAAGATTCAGTGCCGTTATTACAGTCATAAGAAAGTGCCCTTGTTTTGTTTTGTTTTGGTTTTTTTTTGTTTGTTTGTTCTGTTTTGTTTTTTTTTAGCGGAATACCCACCGTACGAGGGGGGTGAGGGGGGTACCCTCGTTCCTCCTCACGGCTGGGCACATGCCTCGCTGTTCCCTCTGCGCTGCTTTCGGGGAACGGCGCGGCCAGACCCCCGAGCTGGCAGCTGCGCGCCCGCGCTGCGACGGGCGGGATGCAGGGTGTGTGTCTGCCGGGGCGGTGTCTGTGCCGCCCCCCCCCCCCCCCCCCCCCGCACAGCGGCGGTGCGCCCGGAGCGCGGGTCCTCAGACAACCTCCTCTCCCCGCCACACACACCGCGGCTTCGCGGGGAGCTGTATGTACCAGCGCCGACCCGCTCCCCGACGGGGAGGGAGGGAAGGATGTCTCGACGGCGCGTTGAAGAAAGACGGGGGAGGGAGTTCCGCGCGCGCCTAATTAAGAGGCGGCGTTAACCCAGGAGACCTAAGAACAGCCCCGAGCGCCGCAAGCCGCAGCACTTCTGGCAGCAGCACCCACCGCGCGCGGAGACGGGGCGGCGCGGGGGGAGAAAGCGTTGCGCGGGCGCGGAAGGGGCCGCCGCCGCCGGGGGGCGCTGTGGCGCTGCGGCAACCGAAACACACACCCCCCCCCCGCTCCTCCGCTCTGCGGCCGCGCACGTGCCGGCGCGGGGGCGGGTCGGTGGGGCGGGGGGCTGCTATAAAAATGTCCCGCCGCGGCACACGCACACTTCGGGGAAACTTCCCAGGCGCGGCCGTGGGGCGAGCGCCCGGTCCCGCCAGCCCCGCTCCTCCCTAGGGCGGGCAGCCCGCACCGCGGCGGAGGGCGGCTGCGGTCGCGGCCCCTGCTTCACCCCCCACCCTCCTCCCCCCCCAAACCGCGGGAGGCAGCGCTGGCGGGCGCGCCCGCTCCGCCCCGGGAGGCGGCGGCGGCGGCAGGATGCGAGTGAACGGGAGCGAGCTGAACAGCTCCGTCCTCCCGCGGGACCCGCCGGCCGAGGGCTCCCCGCGCCGCCCGCCGTGGGTGACCTCCACCTTGGCCGCCATCCTCATCTTCACCATCGTGGTGGACCTGCTGGGCAACCTCCTGGTCATCCTCTCCGTCTACCGCAACAAGAAGCTGCGGAACGCGGGTAAGGGGGTGGTGGGGGTGGGGGGGGCCGCACCGCCGTGCTCTCGGCGGCTGCCGGTAAAACTTTGCCCGGGCGCGCAGCTCCCGGGCTGGGCGCTCGGTGCCTTCGTCCCCTGCGAGCGGCCGTCGGCGGTGACGGATGCCGAGGGCTTCGTCTTTCCTACCGAGTCGGTGATCGAGCGGGTAAGGGTGTTTTTAGCGTCTGCCACCGAATCGTGGTGCTATTTGTTGGAGGTCTCAAAAGTTCCCACCTCACCAAAAAAAAAAAAAAAAAAAAGGCAGGTAACCCTTATTTAAGAATGAAATTTAGACACGGTACCGGGGATCCTGCTGTGGCATACAGCGTGTGTCTGTGCATGCTGGGTGCTATTCTTCTGACCGATTTTGAGTTGCAGAAACGTCTCCAGTAACAAATACTGTGGTTGAAGCTTCAAATCAAGCAAATACTAAGTTATAGGCATTGCAGGATTCGGACATCCTCCACCCACCCCAAGATTGTAATTGCATTTTCTCTGTTCACCTTCTGCTTGCTATCTAGGTCTTTGGGAATGGGAAACATCTGACAACAACAACAACAAAAAACACCAAAACCAAACAAACCAAATTTAGGCATGTTCTTAAAAAAAAAAAAAAAATCTTTAATTTTGATAGGATAGAGTCTGTGATGGTATATTGAGTAAATCCCTCTTAGTTCCTGGATTATTGGTCAGACAGGCAGGAACTTCTTCAGATTCATTCTGCTTTATCATGTCACACCAGCTGCTGCACACGTGTACCAAATGTGTGTGCTCAAAACCCTGTGCATCTTTCATTGAAATATATACAGGAGCGTGTGGAGAGAGCTGCATTGTTAATGAAAGCAGAATTTCACTTCACGATGATTGAGATGCGGCTTTTATTTTTTTCATAACTGGCTGCCAGGTTCTTTATTGTAACTCCATTAAGTTCATTAGCTATAGTGGTTTAAAATTCACCTGAGGAGGAACTTGAGCCTGGGCTTTGCTATAAGCTAGCCTAATAGGAGTCGCTAATATTGGACTCTGGCAAACAGCAGCATGCTTAATTTTCTAAGGTTAAGTCAGGTAATGCAACAGGATTGTGTGTTTCAGTTTTATTCAGCTATAGTGGAATGCCAACACACTGTATCGAAATGAAGACTAACAGATTTTAGTTTCTTTCTGCCTATGGTTGGCACTGATGTAAATTCTAAAAGCCATATTCTTTTCTTGCTTTCACTGACAGATTTAATTCACTGGAGCTGGCAGGGTTGCACACTGCAATACCGTATATTTGAGAGGAGAATCAGGCTCCAGAAGTCCAAGACAGCACTTGCCTACCCTTGTTCCCTGGGAGATTTTCAGATGGAGGGAGAAAGCGTTGAGATAGGCATATTGCTGGGGTTACTGCTGGGGAAAGGGTGATCTTCTCCTCCCCCTTATTACTGAATAGATACTTAAGCACTTCTGTGGGGAGTTTGCAACACAGACGTGTCTGGTACTAAATCTGAAATAAACGTGGTGCCCATTTTCTGGAAACAACTGAATCATTGAGCTCTAGGCGTGCACGTATTCTCTACTGTAGGTCTCATGTAATCCCTCTTGAACCCTGACACGTGCTCACTCTTACTGCATTCCTTGTTCTTGCCTTTTCTATCATAGTGGCGGTTAAGAACTGCAGCAAAATGGCAACAGTTAACTCCTACAGCCAGGAGAATAGAGCATTATTCTGAACATAAATTAGTTTAGACTGGAACGTGAATGAGATACTGTCTTACCCTCGGAAATTAAAGATTAATTAAAATGTGTAGATACTTGGTACAAGATGGGAAATAATTTATAGGCTGTTTTAGGAAAAAATAGTTTTTAAAGTTTTAAAGTCTGTCTTCAAAGTAAAGAGTTTTTAGTAATGGATAAAAGGAAATTTTGGAAAGAACATAATAAATAATCTTCAAAAAGATGTGCAAAGTGTTTTTGAGTAATCCTGCAAAAACCTATGCCTGGACATAACTTTTAATAGTGGTGCTCACATAACTACCTTGGCACTGAATTAAGAAGGGGTTACTCAGGTGGGTAAATTTACAATGAGGCATTAGTATTTAGAATACCCTGGCCTAGTACTTGTGAGTATGAAGAAGAAAGTTTCCTCAGTCTTGTTTACACTAGTTCAGATTATTCAGGAAGAGATTACACTGAAAATAATCTGATTTATACTTACAAGTAGTTTGTAACTTGCTAATTATAAAGACAGTTACAACTTACAGAGCTGTAGTTGATTTTTACAACAACCTATATTAATAACTCTTTTGCTGGCACGTTTATTGAGGAAAAGGGACACAGGATGAAAATTCCGCTGGAAAAAGGTCAGGGAGGAACTGAAGATCCCTCCTGAAGAAAATGTATCTCACTGAAGAATTTTTTCCTTCTTTGCAAGAGAGGACTAACAGAAATAAGGAGTATTTAACACTTTACCGAAAAGGTGGAGTAGTTGGGGGAAAACGTCTTGCATCTCTGCCCACTCTGTTATATTTTTGGAAGATAACTACAAGTTGAACCTATGGATTTATGATTAAAAATGTACATTGGGGAATAGTAGGAAGGCCTAGAAAAACCTTCTCAACAAGTGGTATAACCTTCCTGACAGTGAGAAGGTTAGTAAAAGACACTGGTCAAAGCAGAGAAGTCAGTATCTCAAAGAAGTTTGTCTCAGCAAGTGAGGAGTGTGTGATACTAGAGGCTCCTTCATAGTCACAAGCATGGCTTCAGTAGATGTTCTTCTAGACACAGAAGCTGATGATGCAACTGGTAGGATTCTCTTTTATTTAATGTACTTGACTTGTATTAAGTTTCATAGTTCTGGTCTGTTTGTATGTTTTTTTTTTATGGTGGCTTTGTAATCTAACAGATGCCCAACACCAATTCAGTCGTGATGGGAACAGCTGCAGTTTAATGCTGGCCTACACGAAGACTGAACTTGGCTTATGATGTGTGTGATCTTTTTTAACTTGGAAACATTCAAGGCATAAGGATTTTAATGCCCATGTCTTGATAGCACATTCACGCAGCTTGAACTTTAAACTGATGTGCTTTCTTTAATTATTAATGAAATAGCTCATTTTTAAAAAGTTTGGTGTAAATCATCCTAACATGTCTCATTTTCTGTCACTAATATTAAAAGATCAGAAATAAATCATTCAACACTTATACCCTGAAAAGATGAAATAACTAGCCTTGAGGAAGGTGGATTAAAGAACTAGTGGTACTTTTTGGAACAAGTGGAGTTTTTACTTGAAACTATCAACATCAGATTAGAGCATCTCAGAAAACTGAAGAGATCATTTAAAGTGACTTATGTAATATTACACACAAATTCAGTGATTGCTAGTATCCTTATGCCTTTGTTGTTACCCACACCAAGAAAAACAGTGCATCAAGAACAAGGTGAGGGAGCAGCTATAAGTCTTTGACTATGGAGATGAGTTTACTGCTTGTTACATTAAAATGTCAGTTAACATGCACCCATCATTTTGGTGACGGGGGATTTGGGTAGTCGGTGATTGCAGGACTGGACCATTCTTAAGGTCAATGAAGAAAGCTCTCAAGTGCTATTACACTTCTTGCTCCTCTTCTTCCTTTTGAAACTGTTCTCTTGGCCTGGTGGGTTGCTTTTTGTGCAGAGGTCCAAAGCTGCCCTGCTGTGTTGGAAGGGAACCTCCAGCAGGCAAGAGCAGATTCCCAGCAGTCTCACCCTCCCTCTTCTGTGCCTGTCCTGCCTGCTGACACCTGACATCAGCTGGGGTAACACAGGGGCTGGTGCCAAGATGGTAACCAGCACCTACCATGTCAGGGAGGAAAGCTGCATTCACCCCCTTCTTGCCCATTTCTGTTCTGTGCTAGATGTGTTTGGGGTTTTGTACTTTTTCCCCCAGTTTCCCGTGTCCTCGGCCCAAGCGTTTTGTCGCTGAAACTCTTGTTCTTGTGTACTAGTGAAGGTGGCAGAGAGGAAGCCTGACGTTGCTGAGGCCCCAGGGGCTCTAGAGCAGCAAGATACAGTTAACTTCATTAGCAGTGCAAACGTTCTTAAATTTAAGTATGTGTGTTAACTACTTTTCTGAACGAGATGGCGTTGAAAAAGGAAAATAACAGTGTTTGTATGATAAATCTGCCTCAGCTGCATTAGGTCCAAACAGTTTTGTGAAGACAGCTCTGTGAGTGCTCAAAAGAATAATGAACTCAAGAATAATCTCTGACCAAAATCTGTGAGATCGGTGAAGTCACTTATGGAAGAACTAAGGAACACAGCTACTTAGGATTATTTTTTTTAAAATCCAATATTTGTTAAGTAGTACAGCCATTGAAGAATTGGGGGATAGGATCTATCAGTAAAAATTTTATTTTGGAGGCTTTTCAAACTGGCCCTGGGCTTTGGTTTGAGCAGCATACAAATCTAGTTGAAGTATTCCTCTCAGCACATTTTCTAGAACATAAATTTAAGAATGGAACTATCTTTTGATAATTAGTTTGGAGATTGAATCAGCCTTCTCAGAATGATTGTTCTTGATGATGTTTTGGGTTTTTTTAGTTTTAAAATAACGTTAAATGCTATATTAAAGATTGTTTTATCTAAGAAATGAAACTCCTGTTGTGAATTCAGACTAATGGAATCATTGTTTTTGTCACAGGTGATCCTTGGACTTCTTTTTGTGCCCCGAGAGACAATGGGTAGCCTGACAAATATTTGACTCGAGGGAGATAACTTGTAGAAGATCAAGTTGTAGCACAAATTCAGGGCTCTGATGAAAACTGTGATGTTGATGGCAATGAACATTATTTCAGACATGAATAACTTCCAGTATTAAAAATGGTAAGCTGTCTGGGAGAAGGGAAAATGTCTAGTGAAGATGCTGAACTTTGCCAATTGTTGAACAGAACTGAACATAAAAATACAGTTTAAATAAAGCTGTTCCTCAGGCTGGTTTTGATTTGAATATTTTACTGCATCAGA